TTCTGCCGCTGTGCATATATCAGGACACTTCCTTAACTTTGACAAGAGGGAGTTTCACTGACTTCATATGTAACTTCAGTGTGTATGCGTGCGTGCGTGCTTGTGAATGAGTGTGTGTGCGCGTGTGAGCGTGGGCGTGTGAGTGTTGGAGCTTCCACCCAAATGAACTCCCTAAGTATCGTAGACATGATAAGTAAACAATTATTAAACTTATTGCGTGTGTGGATGAAATATTATTTATTTAAAGATGAATGTGCCTGTTTTGAATGGTCAGTGTGCAGATCATGTTTCTAACACAAAAACTGAAGGATATATACTAAATGTATAATAAATGTAACAGCATCAAGGATCGATGGGGTACGCTCGGGGTTAAAGCGTTCGTCAAGTCGAAGGCCTGTGTTCGATTCCCGCGACATGGGCACAATTAGGCGAACGCTTCGTCGCTGAAATATATCATTTTGATAAAATTTAAAAAGACGACCCAGTGATCTGGAAGATTCAGAGACTAACAACATCTACAATGGGGCTACATCTGCTGGAATCATCCTCAATTAAAAATCGCATTCCACAAACATCAGATTAAGATTTAAATGACAGGTATATTTATTGGTATCTTGCCAAACTCTGTAATAATAATAATAATAGTCCGTTTATATGGCGTTCATATCCAGGCACATTGCCTGCTCACATTACTATCTCCGGTCATGGGACACTATCGTACTTTCCGATACTTTTTCAACACCCATGCTGCCTGTTAAGCGCAATGAACTAAACACTCACATTGCCAGCACATTTTCACGGGTACCCATTTTACAGCTGGGTGAACTGAGACAATGTGGATCTAGGTATCCTGTCGAAGGATACTACGCAAATGTGCCCAACTCGGGACCCGAAGCTAGCTGCCTCCATCGGGGATCGAACCTGGACCTTCAGCGTGATAGGCAGACGCCTTACCACTGCACTATTGCGCTCCTGTCCTCTCTCTCCACGCAGCTTAACCAGAGTCGTGTTGTCACTACCTCAGGTGACCGAATTCAGCCTTACATGTATATAGAAAGTTGATCTTTAGGGGTGTGGATAGTAAACTTTTAAGGGAAAAGAACACATGCACAGATGGGATTGTTCTTCATAAGCATCATATATATATGGTACAAAAGTCATGTATCTTACATTTAATAGTCACCTATCACTTTGTGCAACCAAAGCATTACAAAAGCCTTATTTTCAGACAACATCACATCACTCTTGGCTTAAGTTCCAAACATTTGACACCGAAATTCTGTGTCAGTTCACTCAAAGGAAGCCTAGTGGTTAAGGCGTTCGCTCGTCACGCCGAAGACCTGGGTTCGATACCCCACATGGGTACAATGTGTGAAGCCCATTTCTAGGTTATATTGCTGTAATATTGCTAAAAGCGGCGTAAAACCACACCCACTGACTCGAAGGAAACAATCCTTGCTTTACAATGGCGTCTTAATCATAGGGGCGGTGGGGTAGCCTAGTTGTTAAAGCGTTGGCTCGTCACGCCGAAGACCCGGGTTCGAATCCCCACATGGGTACAATGTGTGAAGCCCATTTCTGGTGTCCCCCGCCGTGATATTGCTGGAATATTGCTAAAAGCGGCGTAAAACCAAACTCAGTCAGTCAGTCAGTCAGTCAGTCAGTCTTAATCATAGTCACGATGAAGCATATGTGGCGATGTGTTTCCGAATAAGTCAGAATATAATTAAGGCAGTGAAATACACATGTACTAGTATTTCCCAAATATATTCTTAAGAAGCCTTTTTCCAAGCAGTGACTTAAAGTCATGTGTAGCTAGATTTGTTTAGATTACAGACTGCATACAAGGCATCATAGATATTTCACACACATTGTTGATATGCTTCATGTATAGGAATTGGCAGAAGGGAAAATATCATCATTCTGAGACTGTCACAGACTGGGACAAGGTATAGAAAACATGACATTCGGACAACAGGCCAGTATTAGACTCTCTTAATTATAAACATACTTCAAATAGCTGAAACTAGAGTTCGATGTCCTTCGAATGCACATTTGGTTGAAACTGGACAATACACATTAACTCAGAAACAAAAAATCGAAATCTTACCTAATTTCTCATGAAAACGGGTTTTTTTAATGTAGGGGGCATGAACAAAGCCCATATGTTCGACAATACTATGCTTGAAATGTAAAACTATGCGACATTTGCCTAGCGATCTGGATTCATAGATCGTCAATTTAAACATGTAGAGAGTATAGTTCTTGACATTGCTTCTCAGCGTTTGGCCAAACCACAAACATACTCTGCTGAATCAGACAAAGACCGCTTGTTCCTGAATCTGAAATTTGCAAACAAGAGAATTGATCCTTTGAATTTAAGCAACATTCTGAGGCATAAAATCAGTTTCCCTAAATGTGCCCAAATATATCAAACTTCAGGAATACCAATAATATCAATTTTCTATACGAACACAATTTCAGTCAGGTTTCAATTATAAAAACGTGTTGCAGAACGTGGATGGCAGATCACGATGTAAATTCCACCTCATGTGCCAGCCAAGACTCAAAGTTTTGCTACCAACCTGCAAGACATATAATCACAGGTGACTTCTCCATTGTTGACAATAACAACATTCATCAACTATTTATATATGGACCGAAATATCGTGAACAGCCTCCTACCAGTGGGGACCGCCTCCGTGGTGTAGTGGTTAGAGCGTCCGCCCGGAGAGCGGAAGGTCGCGGGTTCGATCCCCGACTACGTCATACCATAAGACTATGGTACTTGTTGGTCCCTTCCTGGCGCTCGGCATTAATGGGTACAACAAGGACTGGTCGGCTCGGAGTCTGAGTGGGGTATTCCTGCTTCACTGCGGCATGGTATCTCAGTGGGCTAGCACTATGAAACCAGCTTAAGTCTGGGCTAGTACAAGCAGCCGCACATACACATACACATACACACGCGTGCACGTCGTCATATGAGCAAAATATTCTCAAGCACGACGTAAAACCCAACTTCACCCCACCTCACCTACCAGTCGGGACTACAGCTTTAAAATCATTATGGATGCTGTGGAAACATATGCCAAAAAATGGACCAAAGAGAGATAAACCTGCAGAATGTGTTTAAGAGTGGGTTCAGTCAGTGCGAGATGGTGTCTTTGGTTGACTGCACAAACTGAAAAAGAATAAACCCATTCTGTCCCAGCCAGCTGTCATCCAAAGTCTGCCCTGCATGAATAGTTTGTAGTTATTCCCACTAACAAGGCTTCAAATAACATAGCCATTATATGTAGACATTATTACATAAATTGTTTGATCAAAGAGCTTGGTTTAGGTGACATATCAAATAATACTACACATATGTCCAGCATGTTAACTGAGGAAGAGATCTACCTAAACCATTCGACAGTGCTATCAATGTTTGGCTTGACTTTGAAACCTGAAGACATGTCCATCCCTTTGTTTTAACTGGATTCCAAAGCTACATACAAATCCGTACAAAGAGAGATATATTGCTGGGTCGAGTAAATGTACCCCGAAATGTCTGTCTCAATTATTAACCATAATTCTTAATACTATCAAAGAAGGACTTTCTCGATATTCACAGAACGTATATGAGACAAGCAGAATTAACACCATGTGGATTCTCAAAAACTCGAAAGATTTGCTGACATATTAACAATCTCATACTCCTTGAGATCACATACTCCTGGAAGTATCAATGTGTACCACACTTTTCTATTCAGGTAGCCCCTAGGGTACACTTGTGGACCAATTATGGTAATGTGGCAGCCGTCTATTACTCACGTACAGTTTGGGGAAATCCACTTTTTGTCGAAAACCCGAATGAAAACTCTTCATGTTTAAAGATCACATATACCCTACGGGGTACAAATACATAAATCACTAACTGGCATCGTTATAAATGAAACCCCGTCATTAAAACTACTCATTTCGACCTTTAATTGACTTAAATCGACCTTTTTGACAACAGTGCACAATTCTCACCCGCGAACGAAATTTCAACCAATCAGAGCGGCGCGTCTCTGTGACGTCATATGAGGAATAGCTTTGAGGGCCGATGCAGAATTCATCTACATTTTAGGGGGTAAATTATCTTGTTTACAGGCTTGTATAAACCTGAAATCGTGACAATTGTTGTGGAAAATGAAAGCTATATGTTCTCACAAACTACTGTCATTTAATTTTGTCTCCTGCTTTGCCTAGTTTCTGAGTTACAACTTGTTTTCATAGACGATTCTGTCAAAATCGATTGGTGTCGTTAGGCCCTATTTGTATAATGACTGATCCAAATTGATCCCATTTCTGTGTTTTTTGTACCTCGATATTTAATCATGTCATGTAAAAATCTGTTCGTATTCTCAAAACAGTGTCGGCCCATAAGTTTTCACATGCAATACAGCAATTAATACTCCCTTGTTGTAACCCGTGTTAGGTGGTATAAACCTACACATGTTATTTGTCATCATTCACTTGATGGTCAGTTAATGAATTTATAACAGGTATAATTAGTGGTAACACAGACTCGTCCAGTAGAACATCTTCAACAAACAGGAATACTATCAAAGACCGTTGTTTTACCAACTCTAAATTGATTTGCAACCGTTCTGTTCTCATTGGTTGAACGGAACACATAGATGTCTTTTGGTTTGGGACACTCTGCACTTTGGTATGAACCAACTCAAATACCAATTAAGTCATCCTAAAATTGTGCTATCAATCTTTGTCGTCGCCTGATCTAATCATGTCGTCCCACCATGACGATTGCCTGTCTTTCTTCCACACTCACTGTACAATCCACAAATTAATGAGGTTGCAAGTTGGTAGCAAACTTTTTTTTTAAGTTTTCTCCGATAGCTCTGCAGTCGGTCCACTTCAACGTCAAGCTCATGACGGACTCGTTACTGAATACTTGAATATAAATATTTACATACCCTATTTACCTACCTTGTTTAATTATCATGCGAACGCACAATAAATGTACATCTACACGTGTTTGTATATTTGCATATATGTAAATATACTCACATATGTAAATCATCTGCATGCAAACAGGGTATAATAACCTAATATTTTTGTTTTGGGTTTTTGAATGGCATTTAGAAGTGATACACAAAAGGAAGAGAGTGTTTTTATAGTATGACCAGAAATTATTGAGAATTTTAAGAATATGTTTAATTGGATTTCTAGTATAAACAACCTTGACCAGCTATCAAGTGATTGGTTTCATTCAAGTGAGACAACTCCGTTAATCATTTTTCATTAGTTTGTGAAGAGTTATCCCCCTTTGTTTACTGGCTAGCAGACGACATTTTCAGTGATCCTCAGTATGGATGATTTAGAGAAGAGGAAGTTGATTTTAGAGTATTAAAACAAGGACATCAGATCAGCTAAAGTGATTTCAAGTAGGACAGGCATCCCTTTGTCCACTGTTTATCCTGCCTGGCGCTCGGCATTAATGGGTACAAGGACTGGTCGGCTCGGTGTCAGTATAATGTGTCTGAGTGGGGTATTCATGCTTCACTGCGGCTAGTGGGCTAGCACTATCAAACAAGCTTAAGTCTGAGCTAGTACAGGCACCTGCTCATACACATACACACGCATGCACGTCGTCATATGAGCGAAATATTCTCAAGCACGACGTTAAACCCAATTTCACCTCACCTCACCTCACCTCACCTCACCTCACCTCATTAGTTTGTGAAGAGTTATCCCCCTTTGTTTACTTGCTAGCAGACGACATTTTCAGTGATCCTCAATATGGATGATTTAGAGAAGAGGAAGTTGATTTTAGAGTATTATAACAAAGACATCAGATCAGCTAAAGTGATTTCAAGTAGAACAGGCATCCGTTTGTCCACTGTTTATCGTGTTTTGAAAAATATTGCAAATGGATATGGCATTGAATACCAGGGAGGCGCAGGTAGGCCCAGAAAATTGACTGTCGGTGACAGGAGGCCGCTTGGTATTCTTGTTTCTAAAAACAAACGAAGGAGTTTAGCAAACTTAAGGCTGGATATGATGATAGAGGAACTGTGGCTGTCTGTAAGGAGACAATTAGAACTGAGCTGCATGCAATGGGTTGGCAGAAAAGTCGAGGAATTCCATCACCGATCATGAAACCTGGACAAAAGGAGCGAAGGTTGAACTGGTGCCTACAGCATAGAAATTTTAACTGGGACAATGTGATTTTCTCAGATGAAAGTTCCGTGTGGCTGTTTCCTAATACACTGAAATTCTGGACCAAGGGGCAACGCCCCTCTGTGTATTTGAAGGGAATATGAACAGTGAGTGGCACACAGATATTCTCGAGGGACATTTACTTCCATCTGCTCACGTGTTCTATGGAAATTTTTGGATTTTCCAGCAGGACATCGACCCAAAACATCGTTCAAAGCGTTCACAGGCCTGGTTTCGGACCCAAAATATGACATTAGCAGATTGGCCAAGCTATAGCCCTGACCTAAATCCAATAGAAAATGTTTGGGGACTTATGAAGGAAAAGTGTCAGTAAGAACAATCTGACAAATATTGCTGAAATGAAAGAAGAGGTGGTCCGATATTGGGACAGCATGGACCACGACTTTCTTACATCTTTGATAAGTAGTATGCCCCGCAGCATTGAAGCCTGCATAGCTGCCCATGGTGACTTGACAAAATACTAACTGTTCACCTGTCTTTGAATCTGGAGTTATGTTCTGCTAATATTCACATTTAATACGTGAGTAATGAGTGAATTTTTTTTTTAAGAATTACAATCTTAAATTCTCAATAATTTCTGGATGTACTGTATGGATGTCAACTTCTATATTATGAGAAACACAACGTTTCGGGGTATGTCCTGACTCCTTCATCGGGTGATTGATAAAGAAGTTGACATACATAAAACTCTCTTCCATATTATTTTTTGCATAGTAATTCCTATGTATTTATAACAATGTATGTTCTTTAAAATATGATATTTAATTCGGAATCAGAATTTCTAATCATTTTGGAACCATCAAAATAAATATAAGTACATTTGTTTTTGATACATATATATTTAGTCTCCATGTTGTACAATATTTATCAAAGCAATCTAACATGTGTTGTAAATCATGTGGATCGGTGTCGTCGGCATGCAACTTAAGAAATAGAACACTTTTGCATTATTTATTTAATGTTAATATATGAGTGAGTGAGTTTAGTTTTACGCCGCACCGAGCAATATTCCAACTCTATGGAGGCGATTAATATATGAAGATATTACAGCTTTTGGCTGTGCTCCAAGAATAACTGAGGATATATAGAAAATCTCGCACAAGTGTCTACTGATATCAATTATGACCTGTGAAGGTCCGGGTTAGAATATTGGCCTTCAGTAACCCATGCTTGTCGTAAGAGGCGACTAACGGGATCTGGTGGTCAGGCTCGCTGACTTGGTTGTCACATGTCATCGGATCCCAATTGCGGAGATCGATGTTCATGCTGTTGATCACTGGATTGTCTGGTCCAGGCTCGATTATATACCGACCGCCGCCATTTAGCTGGAATATTGCTGAGTGCGGCGTATAACTAAACTCACTCACTGATATCAATTATATCAACACGAGTGTATAAAGTTACAAATATCTTGACGAGGATATTTATACTTTTATCAACGAGTGTATGTAAATATTTTCATTCAATTATTCATTAACGATTCAGTCATAAGCACAGGGTCGTGTCGCGCTTAAAAGCAGCGTTAGAAAAACATAAAGGTATATAGACCCTACCCTAGTACTATATAAAAGGAAAGCCTTCGAATATTTCGAAATTATTTTACGCGCTGAACTCTAGCTTTGATTGAGGAGGGGGTGGTTTCGTCGTTACATCCCTTTCCTTTTATATAGTACTAGGGTAGGGTCTATCAGGGAGACTATATTGTTGTAGAGTATCCCTGGGTCTATATACCCTTATGTCTTTCTAACGCGGCTTTTAAGCGCGACACGCCCCTATGGTCTCAAGCTTGACGTTGTAAAGGGTAGGCTGCAGAGCTATCGGAGAAAACTTAAAAGTAAAGTTTCCTACCAACTCGCAACTTCATTAATTTGTGGACTATACAATGACAAGTCATTTTGGACGAAGACACTTGCACTTTCCTTGCATCTGGCCTTGGATTTGTTAGCGTGTCCTACTGTGGGGCGGTGTCATCACTGTTTCTGATTCATTCCTGAGGGTTTGAATAAGTGCAGATACCTATTACGATTATGGAAATGATTTTGTCGGCTTTGTTAACTGTTGAACATTAGAGATCCTGTTTTCGGTTCAGCCTCATGAGCAACAAGAAAAGAGACACAAACATTACCCAACTTGTATGTCTCTAATGTCAGGATAATCATTGCGTAACAAAATGTTGAGAGGTAGGCCAAGGCTGCTCTAACATAGGATAGTAATTATGTAGGTATGTGTACGAAATGCACTTACGACCTTCAAATCTTCAGCACAGAGGTCTCAGGCGGAATGCGAAAACATTTTAATGTTTCCCACGATTAGAAAGATTGCACTTAACATTGTCACTGCATATCTGACAAAAAATAAATTTTAATTTAATTCATTTAAAATTCAATTAAATTCAATTTTAAATTTGTGATTGAAAGATTACGTAAAAGCGACCTATTGACATTACATGATTTGCAAACGCTTGTTTACAACATAAGTAAGTTAAATGTGTTTGTTGATAAAGTAAGCGAAATGGAGACGCATATGTGTACATGTATATCACAGTAAAACGCTAACTGAGAATGTCATCCGTTTTGTAATCTGATACTGGGCATTGAGCGTTTCAGGACCCAATAATTTCATTCGGAAAGAAACTTTGTACTTGCTGTAGATACTATTAAGAAACACTGAACTAACAATCTTTTTTTATTCCTTTTCCAAACATTTCTTTTTTTTGTAAGTGATATGTTAAAATATAAAGTCAGTTTCATAGAGAAGAAATCTAGATTTGAAGACATGCTAGGAACTTACTTTGGTATCAAAAGACGACTATGTGAGTCTTTATTGATGGGTTTGACATATAGAAACTTCTTCTTGAGCCGGGTGGTAATTGGAGGTGGAAGAACGTATTAATTAAGGGATGTGCCACCTGGTAGTCTGTGTGTCATCAAACTGGACAGTGTCTTTCACTGACTGTGGCATAAAACACTCACTCATGGGAAACCGCGATCGATGGATCAGATCGCTGGCATAGTGTGCTGGCGATTAGGTGCCTGACTCTAAGAGGTAGGTTTCGAGTCCGAAGTGTTGAAGATTAATGTATAAATTAAATCGATTGTACAGCAGCATGCTCATCACGATCAAAATAGAATATAGATGCAACAAATCGAAGACTGTTGATCCTAGTTATCTCCATCTCATGATTATTAGTTATACCTTCGAAACAGAACGTATGCAAATCCTTCTTCAACTCGTGGGGCAGTCTAGTGATTAAAGCGTTCGCTCGTCACCCCGCAGACCCGGGTTCGATACCCCACATGGATTCAATGTGTGTAGCTCATATTGCTAAAAGCGACGTGAAACCAAACTCACTCACTCTAAATTCTCTTGAGATTGTCAGGTACTGTCAAAATGTGAGCGAACGTTCAGTTACACGTTACGCTAGCCCACTAGAATGGTTGATTCATGTTGGTCAGCCAGATGTGCCTGTTTTCAGGGCATATTAACTTAACCCAAGATGTGGTCATTACTTGAGTGTCTAAACCAAACATAATACAAGGAACCTCTTTTGAAGTGTGATAGAAGCAATGCGTTTGTAACTGAAGGCATCTATACTTGCATTACAGGTACTTGTCGTCGTTATATTCCCGGGTCTGTATGGCAGACATGTCAGGTCAAGTGATCGGGCTACAATGTGTGTGGGGAGGTGGTGGTATTGTTTTGGTTGGTTGGTTGTCGTTATATTCCCGGGTCTGTATGACAGACATGTCAGGTCAAGTGATCGGGCTACAATGTGTGGGGAGGTGGTGGTATTGTTTTGGTTGGTTGGTTGTCGTTATATTCCCGGGTCTGTATGACAGACATGTCAGGTCAAGTGATCGGGCTACAATGTGTGTGGGGAGGTGGTGGTATTGTTTTGGTTGGTTGGTTGTCGTTATATTCCCGGGTCTGTATGACAGACATGTCAGGTCAAGTGATCGGGCTACAATGTGTGTGGGGAGGTGGTGGTATTGTTTTGGTTGGTTGGTTGTCGTTATATTCCCGGGTCTGTATGACAGACATGTCAGGTCAAGTGATCGGGCTACAATGTGTGTTAGGGGGGTGGCATTGTTTTGGTTGGTTGGTTGTCGTTATATTCCCGGGTCTGTATGACAGACATGTCAGGTCAAGTGATCGGGCTACAATGTGTGAGGGGAGGTGGTGGTATTGTTTTGGTTGGTTGCTTGTTGTTATATTCCCGGGTCTGTATGACAGACATGTCAGGTCAAGTGATCGGGTTACAATGTGTGTAGGGAGGTGGTGGTATTGTTTTGGTTGGTTGCTTGTTGTTTAATGCTGTGTGGTGTGTATATATTTGAGTCTGGACAAGTCAATCCAGTGATCAACATCATGATCTTCGATTTACGCCATAGGGATACCATGACATATGTCAACCAGTGGGGCTGGAGTTTCATCGATGGATGGTTTGGGAAATATCTGGAAGCATACGTAAATCCACTCATAGCGTGTATTTCCTTCAGTGTCTGCGTATATTTCAGTATAGACTGTCTCACAGTCCCTGAACCACATTATTTTCCCTACTGCCAAGCTCTCTATGCAGTGCTAAAGCCCTAAATAAAGCAAGTCTAGATTTCCTCAAGTTCTTAATGTCTGGTCTCCCTGGCGCCCCTTTCAATTTAAATGGGCTTGTTTGTTACTATCAAAATTATATATATATTCAGAGACTAAGCATTAGTCTAATTTCAAGGGCGTATAATCCGGCTTCTGGTCCTGTGCTCTGACATCGTAATCAGTTGTGCAAATTGCGCAGGTACAGTTGATAATCCATGATCGACAATACGGGACGTCGTCAACATGTCTTGATTACCGTCGTACACTCAACATGTTAAAAATGTACAATTTTGTAGAATGTGATTTTCTTTAAATATAAAACATGCATTTCATCCGTTCAGCCTGCAAGATATCTCAGTAGTACACAGAGGAGACAATTGTACAGTATAGAAGAACCAGTTAGCCGTTTCATCATGGAGTCTTTAATCAGTTAACGAGTGAGTATTAATTCAATATTGAACAATTCCTTTATTCAGCACATCATATCTAAATATAGCACAACAATACATTAGGTGACATAGATAATGGATAATAATGGATAATGGAAACAAACATTATACAAATGAGAACACATTTCAATACTAGCACAATAAAATACAAAATATATTTACCTCTTAAAATCCATGAACAAAATCTATCGGCAATCGATAGATATACTTGTACATGCCGCCATCTTGAATCTTATTAATACAAAAAGATGAACTCACTTCTGGAAAAAGTCTGACATTAATGTTTGTTTCTGTGAATTTCCCTTACATTTATCCACAAATTCACGGACGCTTGCCAAGTGGGAAAAATGTTCGTTGTTTGTACCTGGAACCGACTTGAGAAATTCCTCCAGTCCTTCACAGAACTTTATCGCTTCCGATACGGATGGTGGTGGTTTGACGGCAGGGTGTGTCTCGTCTTCATCATCAGACGAGTCGTCGTTGTGACAGGTGCTAATTCTTCCGTTTCCGTAAAATCACTAATCTGCCTTTTGAACTCACCCGACAATAGCGGAAAGGTGCGAGCCGCGCTGGTTTGTTAATTGGATCAGTTACATGTAGTTGGATCACCAATTAACTTCTCATTGACTGACTTCGGTTTATGTATACAAGATTACTATTGTTTAAATCTCAAGGGACCAAATTTCTATTTCGAGTCATCGTGTGTATTTATGAGACGAATTCGTGTAACCGGAAATCAAATGATGACAAAAATAGCAGGGAATGGTCGGGACCGACAGGTACTTCGTGTTATGCATAATATTCGAGACACCGGCATTCGACTCATCGGGATTTGACTGTATATAAATAAATGTAAGTTTATATAAATTACATAGATATGTGGGTACAATGTGTGAAGCCCATTTCTGGTGTCCCCCCGCCGTGATGTTGCTGAAATATTGCTAAAAGCGGCGTAAAACCAAACTCAGTCAGTCAGTCAGACATAGATATGCGCACTGATAATGATAATGGCACACAGTAAGCTTCGATGTGTATAACACAACCCAAATGTTGTAAACTTAGATTTTTCCAAAATGCTAAGTTTCATGTTACAGATATGAGGTTTAGAGGTTATCGGAATGTTCTAGATCCTTTTCATTGCGGCAATGTGCCGCTTGACCCCGGATGTTCACGTTATCCAGTGTTTTCA